AAAAAAAAAAAAAAAAAAAATCCCAGCCAGCCGGGAAAATATTTTCCCACCAAAAAGGCGGAAAAATATTTTCATCAAAAATCGGGAAAATGCACACGTGTGAGGAAAAGTAGAAAAATATTTTCCGTGGAAAATTTCGCCTATCAAACAGCTAAAAAAGTGGAAAGTGAAAAATATTTTCCTACTTCCCTGAAAAATGTGGCCTATCAAATACGGCCTTGATTTTTACTAATCCTGTCTGGTAGAGATTAAAATCAATTTTTTAGTAAATTTTGATAAAAATTGTTGAAATGTGTGATTGGAAAATTGTGAATTTTATGAAATATATTGTTAAAATTAATTGTTCACCTATTTTCGTGCACATATACCACTCATTTGTTGCTTTAATTTTCAAAGAATTGGATACTAAAATTCTCTAGTACCCCACTCGAGAAACATTAATCTTTTGGACGACCCTTTCTAGTTGGATAGTGAGTGCTACGTCACTAAGCAATGTTATCCAGTGGACTAAACTCAACGAAAAGGTTAAAAAAAGACCGAGAAAGTAATAAGCAACTTTAATATATACAGTACAAGTACGATTCTCACAAGAATATTAGTTCCTCTCATATGGGCTAGTAGCCGTAGGAATAGCCGTATATCAATTTTGAACGACGAAAATACATAACTATTAATCAAAAAATATAAAAATAAAGGTCATAGTTTGGCAGAATTATTTATATTTGTCACATGGCAATCCCAGTTTCTACTCATAGATTCAACAAAAACAGCTCAGAATTTCCTTTAACTATACAATAAAATATTATAAAGTAAAACCATAACTAATTGATAATTTATTAGAGCAATTAAGAAAAAAAATAGCAAAAGTTACAGTCTTTAATGCAAGATATGAAATAAAGCAACACGTTTACTCTCCACTAAAAACTCACTTAACTTTACTAATCAACAGTTTTTTTATTTTCTCAATCATCAGCAAAATGTACTATTTAATTAACTGCTTATAGAGAAGAATATAATTTATAATTATTCTTGATGATCACACACTGACTTTACAATTTTGTGATAGCTGATACTTAATTGCAGTTCCCATCACGATTCCAGTATTCCGGCTATTTCCGATCGGAATATACGCCGGACAGGTAACATGGAGGTGGTACCGGCCGGAGACGAAGGACCCAACTTTCCACTTAACACGGCCGTTAATCTTGAAAACCATAAAGATAGCTCCATTAGACTTGTCCTGGTTCAAGGCTATACCATTATACGGCGCCACAGGCACGTCGTTACCGTAAACAAAAGGCGACCAGATGTTTACGTCCTTGTGGCCCTGATACACAGGTGGTATGACTGTGTAGTAGGTAATTTGCTGGCTGTGGTAGGAGGCGTACACGTCCAGTTTGTCGTAATAAATGCCGATTCTGGAGTTGCGGTTGCGGGAGTTGATGGTGATTTGGACTGTGGTGGAGATGATATTGGGGGCGGAGACGTTGAGAGAAAAGATGGTGGCGTCTTGAAGGATGAACCGGGGTTTCTTTGGCTGTAGGATGGCCCAGACGAGGAGGATGATAAAGAGAATGATGAAGACGAAGATAAGGAGGAAGGCACAGCACCGCCGGATGAACTTCTGCCGCCTTTCCTTGTGGAGGGTGCACTTTTCCGCCATGGTTTGGTGGCTGTGGTGGTGGTGGAGTGTGGAGTTTGGCTGAAGGGTGGGTGTAGACGAGATTTCTAGGAGGAAATTGAGAACTGATTGGCTTCACGCTTCTTATCTATATAGGTCCATAATTGCCGTGTTAGAAATGCATAGTGGAATATATGTAAATAAATTAGTCTATAGGAATTATTGAATAGCTTTGAATTATGCAGTTGTAACTTTTTGAGTTTTATCACTCTAAATTAAATTAGTACGATTCTATATAAATTTATGATTTCTCGTCTTGAGATGGAATATGTTCCTTTCTATCACGGGTAAATATTTATTATAATCCATTTTGATTGACAGTTGAACTTGTCTATTTATTTATACTCATTCTTGTGCTCCTTTTTCTACCAGGCTTCGAATATCACTTCTCCTTTGGATCGCTAAACCACGAACTTGGAAATTAAATAATTTGTGTTCTTTTATCAAACTCCTCGAAGGTATTTCGTAATTAAACTAATATAACTTAAAGATCGATCTTTTTATTAAGGATAAAACTAAGTGTACAGACAAGTGTAAGTCTGTAAAAATTCTATCAAAAAAATCCGTACATGTAACTTGATTCTTTTATTAATAGAGAATTGAGAATGCATCGACTATACAAAGAGATAGAGTGAAGTGTCCAAATGCAACATTGACGTGCTTAGATCCCATCAATCTTATAATTGTATCGATTTTGCATTTAGTGCAAGTTGCACGGGTCAACAATCCATAGAAGTCGTTTTACAAGAAACGTTTTATATTTCTTTTGGGACAAATTTAAATCAAGAGAAAGATGATCGAATCCTGACCGTTTGTTTGTGATGGAGATTGACGTATGGAGTGGAGAAGGTTGACACGTTTTGGTGTAGATAGGCCCACTTAATAATACGGTGAATCTTCCAGATCAGATTACCGACTTCATGTTTGGATTCTAGGATATGGCTTTTTTCTTTCATCGATCGGCAAATTCATGTTTAGAACCGACAAATTATGAATTACACAACTCATCCTAAAAACATACAAATTATTTGGTACATGGAAGTATACATTATCATTCGTGAAAGATTAAGACTCGAAGTTTCATTTCTAAAATGTCGTTCTCGTTAAGATGAATAGTTCAAATCATTACATATCGATCTATACAGGGGCGGACGCATAACTTAAAAATTAAGGGGGGCATAATTGAACTTGCAAAGAAGTTGAAAGAAATTTTACAATCGAAAATTTACGTCCAAAAAAATCATATCTCATGTAATTTTACATCTAAAAATTTACATGAGATATGACTTTTTCGAATGTAAAATTTCAAAATCTTTTTATACCATATTCCATATAAAATTTCCTAATAAAATGATGAAAATTACATTGAGAAATCTGTATCGCAAAAATAATAAATGTTAATGAAATAATTGAATTTTTTTTTAAAAAAAGCGAGTTAGACGTCTTTTTTTAAGATTCACGTTTAACGTATTTTTAACTATTTTCGATATCTGTTTGGACAATTCGATATGTCTATAATGTAGTTCTCGAAATAAGTTTTGAGATGACATAAACAATTTGTAGATTCGATTAGCGTACGATTGTTGAATTTTTTTTTTTAAATTAGCATATTTTCGAAATTCAAATTTATTGTAATTTTTTGAAATCTATATGTTCCTTTTTAAGTATTATTCGAATTGAATTACCTTTTGGAGTTTAATTAAATCTGATATCATATTAAGAGTTGTTGTTTTATCTTAAAAGGTGAAATTTGTTAAAGAGAGGTAAGATTTGAAATTTATCTTTTAACATGAAAGAAATAAGTTATCCATGGTTTGGTAGCCAATCGATTAACTTGTTATATCGCAATCGAGTGTCATAATAGTAGCCTTTATATGGAAAGAACTTATAATGATTTATTTATAAATAGACAAAAAAAGAGATGAATAAATAGACGAAGTATTTGCAATTTACATACCTTATTTCGAAATATACATGTTACCTACTATTCTTTATTGAATGGTAACGATTGACACATTTTACTAAAAAAAGGCTATACACATTTCACTATAAATAAATCTACATACCAAAATTAAGGCTGGACAAAATGTCCGAACCGAACCGAACCGAACCGAAACCGAACCGAA